TATATTGGGTCATGGTATTATCCCCATTTTATAAATGAGAATTTTGAGTGTTAAGAGAGAAGTTTAACTATCCCAGGACCATAAAACTAAGTAAACATAGACTTGGGCTTGAAACCCACAGCCCACACAGACACTACTGCTCCAATACTACCTTTTCTACCCTTCTTACCTAAGTCCCTGTTGACTAATAGGCCACAGCTGAAGTCCTGCAAAGGATCAAACATGCTCCCTTCTATCCTATTTTCTCCTTCTCTTTTTATCCCCGTACTCTATCCATAGTTCTTACCCATCTCTCCTGAGATACAAAGAGATTTTAAAAACAGAATAAAGGCTTCTCTGGTGCCCTTTTCTTCTATTTTGAAACTAACTTCAGGGAAAAGCAAAAAAGGTGGCACTTGCTTTTGTAGGTTCATTGGAAGAATACTATTACTCTCAATGAGAGTGTGCTGCCTTTAGATCTGTTTCTCTTCTAACTAACCTCCTCTTCGCTTTTGCTGCTTTGCTGATAGAAAATAGTAAAAAGACAAACAGAACCCAGAAAGTTAATATTCTGTTGAATTCTCAAAAATCCCCAGTTAAATTCTCATAGTTGTTGATAAAGTGAAACAACAGGCACTTGGGTTAAAGAGAAACAGAGAAAAAAAATCAGAAGTACAACTGCCACATGTATATTCCACAGTACTATCCAGGCAAATGAAAGAGATGGCTGATATTTTTCTAACATGAACAATAAGTTGACACAAGAATGTAGGGGATCAGGTCTCCATAAGTCTGCTGAATATCAGAATTTCCTATATTTTTTCTAATTGCCTTACACTTAAAAATCTAGTTGCCTCTGATTTTCATAAAGTTAAATATTCAAAGAAAAGAACTTTTGGACTGGGGTTGTGGCTCAGAGATAGAGCACTCACCTAGCATGCATGAGGCACTGGGTTTAATCCTCAGCACCACATAAAAATAAAATAAAGATATTGTGTCCACCTACAACTAAAAAATAAATATTAAAAAAAGAAAGGATCTTTTTATCCAAAACATCAGCTAGAAAGAACAATTGGTAGTTTCACAATAGAATAAAAAAGAAATGGTATAGTCTAGGCACAGGCCCTGGTTTTAGGAAAAGTGTATTTCAAAGTGCACAGAAAAATACCAGAAATTATCTCATGGCTGTACCCTTTAAAATAAAGACATTATACTACTGTGGATAAAAAGGAATGTGGGGAGAGGGGCTTTCAAGATGAAAAACTTAACCTTATAATAAAATGATGACATAGTTTTTTTTAAAGTACAGTTGTACAGCTGCAGATGGAAACCAGCAATAAATTCTATAACAAAAATCAAACCCCCCAATCTCAAAAAAAAAAAAAAAAAACTTAACAGGCCATTCATAAGCAAAACTGTAAAAATAGTTTCAATATGGAAAAAATAATATCAGGGAGGTCAAAGCCTAGAATGTGCTGATATTTATAAAAACATTATTTCAAGAAACTTTATGAGGGGAAGGGATTTGATCAGTGAGGGGAAAAAAAGGGAAAAGAAAAGGGTTAACTGAAGCAAATAATTGGGGAAGAGGTCAGTTGTTTTTAAGGTATATAATACTTAATACTCAATATTCAGGGAATGGGAATGGAATTGACATAGGGTAAGCCTGAAGGGAGAACTGAGAAAGAAAGGGATACAGGAAGCTCCTGGGTATAGAAGTGAGGAGAAACACCAGAGATAATAATAAACAAAGTTCAGAGACTACAGAATGAGCTCAAGTCTGAAATACACTATATGACACTTGCTTCCGTGATCTAATGTGTTTACTTCTCTCCCCTCTTACCTCCTACTCACTCCCTTACTCTCCACTATTCTGAGCTCACAAGTATACCACCCATCTTAAAGCCTTTGCAAGGCAGGCTTAATTGTCTCCAATATCCACATGGCTAGCTAACCTTCTCAAGATGGTACACTGACTCATCATACTATTTAGAATTGCCACTCGCTCCTGCTCCTTCTCAGAGCTCCTAATCCTCAATCACCCCTACAGGTGCTTTTCCCCCCCTAGCACTTAGTACCTTTAAACATAGTATTTAGTTTAAATTTTGTGTTTATAATTTGTCTTTCACTAGAATTTAAACTATAATAGGGGGAGGGAATTTCTGTTTTAGGCTTGCTATTGTCATCCAGTTTTTAGAACAGTGCCTGCCACCCAATAAATATTAAGTGAAATGAATATACAAAGTCTTAAGCCTGTGGCACAGGAGGACATTGGTATTTCTGGCCTTGATACTACTCTCTTCAATAGCTAAGACCCATTTACTCCTTCCCTACTCTCTGCGCTAAACAAAAAAACTAGGACACCTGATTTCTGAAAAGGAGTGAAGAACTTAAACATAGCTCATCAGAATTATTGCCCTCCTCCCCAACCTCTAGGCAGAGATTTCATAACTTGATTTGGAGACATCTAATGCTATTTCTAGTCATAGCTTGTGATATCACAAAATTCTTAACCAAACTTCTCCCAACAAAGTGAGGGATTTATTTAAATCATATAATAATTGAAATTCTCAAGCTGGGGCTTTGCAATTTTTAGGAATTTTTAGGCTTTGGCAAAATGCAYATTTTTAGGAGACAATTATTACAAAACAAAGGTTCAGAATCAGTATTAGGAAGAATATAGGCATCAAAACAACACACAATTCAGAAAGATCATTTTATATCAAGACTTTCTGCACAAGAAGTAATGGCCTTCCTGCATTTCTGGCTATCTCCCATCACTAAGAAGTCACTACTATACACATCATCATTTATCCCTAGCACACACACACACACACACACACAAAAAAAAAAAAAAAAAAAAAAAGGCATGGAGCTTGGACAAAATACTTCTTTGGGCCAGATTTTTATGATCACAAAAATACTCTAAGGTGTGCGTCTGTATATTTGTGTGCCACTTAGTACTTTCAGAAGATAAAATCTTGGGAAATCAGATGATAGAATGAAATGCCACAAAAAAGCTAAGAATCACCTCCTTAAGTGATAATTATTAGCAAGCATGGCAAAGGAATTATCCATCTCCCCTTAAATGTTAATCAAAGAAAACAGTTTGAGCTATCCCAAATGATTGTTCAGCAACATACTGAAGCTTACAGTATAAATGTTGCTCAGAGTCAAATGACCTTTCAAGAGCTGACCAAGACCAAAATATAAACTGAGGGTAAAATGGACAGGTTCTCTAGTTTCTGTTTCCACAGATCAGGCCTACATGCCTTGTGATACTTCCAGGCCTGAGGAAAGAGTGCCATCTGCAGGATCTCTGTTTCAAAAATTACTGGTCAGGTGACCAATTCAGCATTCACAGAGAAACAAGAACCACTATCAAATCCCCTCATGGATTTGGTTGTTTGCAGACTTGCCTTTTCAACAATTCTTTTTATTGCAATCTTGAGATACCTTTTTATGAATTTCATTTCTTAGTCACTTGTACAATCCTGACTGCTCTTAAAAAGAGGTTTCTTCTACTTGCCCCATAGATCCACTAAGTAAATTAAGACTCTTACAATTCCCTAACTCCCATAATCGACATACTTTTTCTAAAAGTTCTCTCCCATTCCAACTCAGGTTTCCAATCAGAACAAGTACCCTCAAGGACCCTGTAAGAGCTGCCAAACCCAGCTCCCATATGTTCAATCAGGTAATCTGTCCCTAATCAGAATGAACATCATCTTAATCATCAGCTATTAGCTGTCTCAGTCAGAAAACAGATGAAGTCTACCTGCTCTGTACCATGCTCATAGACTATTCATCAGAGGAAACAGTTCCAAGATTGAGCCTACGTGGCCCAAGAACTTTAGTAATGCAGTTTTCCATGTTGCTGGGAGGAGGAAAGGAGAATAGCATATAAGAGATCCCACCCCCAAATTGTTGTACCTGTCAAAACAATAGGAATAGCATCTATGAACAAAAGAAATCTGTTGTTTTGTGTAACATCTTTGTGATACATTTATTTCAGTTCTGCCCTTAGTTCACCACTCCCAAAAATGTGGAGAAGAGAATGCTACCTGAAATTGTGTGAATTTTCAAAAACAGACATTTTCTTTTAAAATAGCCCCTTTTTCCTCTCTTAAGCCCACTTTTTTGTTCTCAAAAAAACTGAAGCTGGTTCAGACCATTTTTTGTCTGTGAGTGCTCAGAGTAGGACCTGCAGAGTATAGACAAATAGCTTGTTGTTAACCCAGCTGAGTTCTATCATAAGAAATCTAGACTTCTTTGTTTAGTTCTTCTATGATCCTTAAATGGGAAAAGAAAGACCAAGCAACCAGAATGACTTGATTAAAGATCTTGGCTGAATCAGAACTAAGTACAAGAAGGAAAAGGCAAAAGGAAAAAACAATGTATGTTTTTGGGCAAGGAGACTAGAAGACTGAGGACAAAGAAATCAGGCCAATTATACTGGGAATGTCCTTCAGACAGAAGCTGTCTCAAAAACATGTAAAGATCACACCCCTATTTCAGGAGGGGAAACTATTATTTAGTACCAAGAGATATAATCCAGTGTCCTAGAGAGATCCGGGATAACACCTTAAACATAATACATACTGACAGTGGAAACAAAGACTTAAAACAAAAATTGAGCTGATGAATCAGCTATGTCCAACAAATAAAGGATTCAGCTATATAGCCCAGCATGGGCATCTCACAGCATGTGCATTCCAAAGGAACATGGGCAATGTAAAACCCTTGACATTTGCTAAGGTACAGAAATAGTAGAGTGTCAGAATGAGGCTGATGGAGGACCTAATAAGAAAATAAAAGTCAGTTGAAAGAGCAAAACTTTCCAAAACTTAAAGTCCTAAGGGACTTAGGAATTCTGAAAAAGTGTCAGATAGTATTACAAAGAAAGGAGATGACAAGTCAGTACATCTGTGAGGGTCATATACGTCAATTTTTTAAAAGTACAGAAGAAAAAACTTTTGTCTCTTTTGTCAAAGCCCCCTTGTTATCAAAGACACTCACCCTTTAACTCTGAAAGATATTATTTACTAGAAAGAAATATTATAGGTCTCCCAATTCCTGCAAAACCAAATATAGTATCCCTATCCACCCCCCCCAAAAAAATCTCTCATAAATTCTTCATTCTACGTCTTGGATTCTCTTGGATTCCTTTTTCCAAAATCAGGGCCTAAAATTACAATGTATACAGCTCCCAGAGAGTCCTGGAATCAGCATAAATACTGCCCCACTGTTTCTTATTTATCAAAGGAGAATGCCTAGAAAGTCAATGAATTGAGGTGCTTCACTTGACATCTTAATATCCAGTTTTTCAACAAAGTCTCATACAGGCCAGGAGGTAAGACATCCTTATATAAAGTCAAGCTTCCATGAAATTCTGGTTCACCAAAACCAAAGGGTGATCCCAAGAAGTCTTGTGGAGTAACTACACCAAAGAAGGAATCCACATAGTCAAGTTATGGCTTTCTCAGGAAGATCGAGCTACTTAATCTTAGCAAGGGCAGCGGCTCTTCTTTCTGTGTTCTGGAACAAGGCACGAATTAAAGCTTTTACTTCACTGGAAGAGAATGCAGTTGCCAGCGGCCCTTTTCCATCTGCCCACCTGCAAAAAACAAAGAATTTTATCTTTGAAGTGTAATGATTTTAAATTTTATTTCATCCAAATGTTTTGTTTTACATGGAAATAAAATAAATTCTAGGTATCCTTTCTCTTCTTTACAGATTTACCCATCAATACCTTAGATGTTCTGCTCATTGGCTACATCTGTTATCAGTACAGCTGGATAAAGAAACCAAGAGATAAAGACATAGCTATTAGCTCTTTTACTCACTAAGGCTCCTCTGAACTTGATAATTATAACCATATTCTCTCAAGCCTTGGACTCTAACTACTTAAAGTGAACAACAGAGAAAACCTGTTTCAAATAAAAAAATATTGGTATTAAAAATATAAAAAGAATTCCCATAAATCAATAATGAAAAAACAACATAATAAAGGACAAAAAATATGAAGAGGCATTTTACAATACAAGAGATATAAATTACCAAGAAAAAGATGCTTAATCTCATTAGTATTTAGAAGAATTAAAATGACAATGAGCTATTATTTTACACTTGATTATCAAATCTACTAATTCCAAACACTGGGGAAATATGAAGAAACAGGATATATAACTATGAAATATGTGTACCACAGGATATATGGTGCAGCAATAAAAATAAAGTGTAGCTATATATGCCATTATGAATATATTTCAAAGACATGATATTGAACAAAAGGAGTAAGTTAAAAAGGATTCCATTTATATAAAGTTCAAAAGCTGACAAGTCTAATCTTTTCTATTGTTAAGACTATGTGTAAATGTAAAACTATAAAGAAAGGCAAGGGAATTATATAAAATTTAAGTGAGCAGTTACCTCTTAATGAAAAGCATTTGGAGAAGGACATATAGGGGTTTTCAAAGATACCATTTATATTTTTCTTTAGTTATGTAATAAACATATTAATATTTATTCTTTTTATTTAAACTGTGAAAATAATTATCCATGCTATATTACTTCATATGTATATTTTTCAATTAAAATGTTTAAATTATACATGAACTAAAGGTGAGTTTTGTGTGTGTGTGTGTGTGTGTGTGTGTGTGTGTGTTGGTAAAAAAGTTCCAATTAGTTACTAGTCTTACATTTACTGAACTCTCTAGGAAGGAAAAAAAAAAATCTTCCTAAATATAAAAAAGAAGTTGAGATGTACCAGTACTATAGTTTTTCGCATTAACAAGGAACTAATGATTATTCTCGAGCTGCAAGAAAACCATTTAAAAGCAGCAAAAAGAAAAATTCCACTGCTCTCTGGAGCATATTGCCTAAAGACATTTTTCTTACCCATTAAGGGTTTATAAATAAACAAATTAAAACTTTGTAATAAATGTAATTAAAAGTATCCTGATGTGATTTTTTTTCCTAGTAGAAATCTCATTTATATTATTTTAGAATGGACAATATGTGCTGCAAACTACTCAGACTCATCTAGGATAACTGGTCTAATATATCTGGATATCTGCAGTAAATCAAGCTAAAGTAGACAGACAAGTGACTACAGAGTTGGAGATGGATAACCTTATGTCCTCTAAGGGAATTCTTTATGCAAGGTATACTTATTCATGAATCACTACCATCAACACAAAATCATTAATGCATGTATAACTAAGTCACCAAGTACAAATACTTGGGGTCCTTCATCTATCACTATTTTGCATAAGAAATACAGTTTATCACCATTTTAAGTAGAGATGTCCTAGTTCTGCACAAAGAAAACAACATATTCTGTAAGTATCATGCCCTCTGTATATTATGATATGATGTAACATACATTTATGGGGCATAGCCACATTAATCAATAGTGTTGGGCAAAAACATCATTCACTATATTTAAGAAAAGAATCCATTCCAGCATATAGCACTTAACCTCTAAAACTATTTATCCCCTGCAGAAAAACAACTGGTGAATCAAAAAGTGGTTTGATGCTGCATATTTCTTTAGTTATACATGGACACAATATTCTTTATTTTGTTTATTTATTTTTATGTAGTGCGGAGGATCAAACCCAGTGCCTCACATGTGCGAGGCAAGCGCTCTGCCACTGAGCCACAACCCCAGCCCTGATGCTGGATATTTAAGACATAAAAGTAATTTCTCTATTCATATACCAAAATCATTATATCCACTGTTGATCAAAGTGAATGAAAATTTCCGTTCAGGAGCCCAACGGAGTGGCATATGCCTATAATCCCAGAAGCTCAGGAGGCTGAGGCAGAAGAATCCCAAACTCAAAGCCAGCTTCAGCAACTTGGTGAGGCCTTAAGCAACTCAGCAAGACTCTGTCTCTAATTAAAATATTAAAAAGAGCTAAGAATGTGGCCCAGTGGTTAAGTACCCTAGGTTCAATTCCCAGTACCGCCGCCCAAAAAAATTCCATTCAGGTATAAAAAAGTTGTACTTATTATAAATACCAGATCATTTGTATTGCATGCCAAAACCACGTTCATGATCCAAATAATATAAATGAGAAGTGTTTATATTTTATCAAATATGAGAAAGTAGTAATGAGATCTACATGATGATAGCCCATAAAAAGGCCTCGACTACTGAAACTTTTTCCTGAATAATAATAAGATACAAAGAAAAGCACTGCTATCACTGGTGGCACTATTATTCTTTTATGGCTGTGAAGATATACACGCCTCTATAGAAGGGTTACACGCACCGATCTCCAATTTCTTGCAAGCTAGCTTGTAGCATCATCATCAGTTCTTTGAAAGGCATCCATTTTGACACATAGATGGGAACCTCTTCTTGATATTTCTTGTTCTTGCTTTCTTCAGACAGAGGTGCAAATACTTGGGGTCCTTCATCTATCACTGTTTTGCATAAGGTATACAATCTATCACCATCTTCAGTAGAGATGTCCTAGTTTTGCACAAAGGGAACATAACAGAATTTGAACAATTCAGTAATAGGGAAAGGGCAGAGCCATCTTCATTACAGGCTGTTCAGGTGGGTCACCTATAGCAATGTGCTTTCTACCCCATTTAATACAACTTACTAGATACTAGATTCCTTCAACCCTCTGAAAATATTCATGTAACTAGAATGACACAAAACACGTTTCAACAGATTGTCAGTAATTTAGTTTGCCTACATGAAAGAGTTCATTTCTGTAGGAAAAACTGGTATAGCATCTTGCAAAGCAGGGGATTTATTATAAATGAGGATTTTGTGAGTCTATGCTTTAGAGGCTTCAGCTGGCCAAGACCAGGCAATTTTCCTTGTAGGATCATACATAAAATCCCAACTGCAACATTTTCCAAAAAAAGTGCTATCTGCATAAGACTTTATTCACTTTACTAAATGAAGGTATTAACTTGCAAATGCCATACAATACATCTTGGGACTACTGCCCAGTTTCTTATTTCCTCACTCATAATTTGCAGATGCTAGACTTGAGAAGCAGTACAATCTTAGTTTCTTGTCTAGGTATAAAAGAGATTACCAAGTCTCCAGCAAAACATAATTAAGACAAAACTGAAAAAAAATAACAGCATGAGTCACATATGAAACATGAACAATTTTTTTCCACCATAAGTGTTGATTAAAAATGAGATTTCAACATCACTTTTTTAATAGTCACAATTTAATAGTCACAATAGTATTGCATCTCAATTTATATCTGGGGAGGCATATAATGGCCCTTACCTCAAGGGCAGTGATTCTGCTAATGATCTCAGAAATTGCTGTATTTAGTAAAGTCCCCATGGCCTTGCAATATATATTCACTGGCAGGATATCTTGCCACACAGTTCCAAGTCTCTTTAGTTGGTGCAGTACCTGTCAGAAGAATAGAGCTATTTACATAGGAGAGAGATAGTTGCAACTCATCTTCCAGATTTACATTTATAATTAATGTGTTTCTGGGGAAAGAGGTATATGCAAAGGTGAGGTAATAATATCTGCTTCTTGAATATTTAACCTTAATAATATCCCTGGTAGCTAAAACGTACCAGGATGGGAAAACTGCAGTAAAAAGATAAAGCACTTAAGAGATGAGCATGGATAAAAGCCTATATTTCAAACTTCTCCAATACAAGTTCATGAGCCAACTACAGACTTACTTAATTGTCAATTTAGTGTGTCAATGGAGAGATTAGCTTCCTGTTGTCTCGGTAGGGCAAAAGAATATTTTTAAACATAACTGTGAATGGTATCTAGATTATCCAGTGGAGGTTATAGGAAATCAAGAAAGCTACTTGTTAGGTACTCTTATGCTTAAAAAGGTATCTAAGGGTAGAATACAAATTTCAGCGCTAGCAAGAGCCTCCCACCTGCCGGATTGCTTTACTTGCTGCAGAATAATTCTCTTCATCGTCCATGTTTGAAAAGTTCCTAGCACTTGACAATCTTTCCAGAAGTTCACCTTTCTGTGCCCGCATTTGGGCCAAAAAGCACTCTGTCCCTATGATAGGAAACCAAAACACAAAATTCTAAAAGACATATATTTACACACTGCAGAAAACCAGTAGAAAAGGAGAGACAAGCATAAACCATATATCTGATATATCCACATGAAAACAATTGCTAGGTAACATCACAAAACTGTCCTAATAATATAGAAAAATAATCACTAACACAGTTAGCCAAACCCACTCTTAGGAAAATAGATAAATCCTTCTCAATAGTTTGCCTAGAGTCTGAGTCAGCTAAAAAATATTACTTACATAGAAAAAGCTACTTATTATTGTGATATATCTATACCAGAGAAGGAAAAAGTCAAGAAGTGAAAAGCTAAGTGAATCATATAGATTCTCTGCTTTTCTCGGCCTATCATTATAGAAAACATATCAATTTAACCCACATTTCATTTCTTTTGACCAAAGAGCTATCTTTGGTTTTGCAAAAAAATAAGCACTGGTATTAGTGAGCTATTACCAACAACTGTCATAGTATAAATCTTATTGTGTCATTTCAACATAAATGATTTGGTGAATTCAATGCATATCAGCAATGAAGTCTGGAACTCTAATGTACCAGGAAATCATAAATCATGTCTTAAAAAAATAATGCTTCTAGAAAATCAAAAGGAAATCAGTAGAGGAAAGGGCCTAAGGGGAGGAAGGAGGGGAGAGAGGAGGGAAGAGAGGAGAAGAGGGAAGACAGAAGAAGAGGGAAGAGAGGAAGGGAGGGAGGAGAGGAGGGAGGAAGTCCTGAGGAGTATTGGCCAAATTACACTGTGTATTGTGTGCATGTACAAATAAGTAACAACAAATCTCATCCATATGTACAACTATGATACCCAAATTTTTAAAAATGTAATGCTTCCATAAAGACTGCATTCATTTATAAAATTAAATAACCAGAAACATATACAAATTAAATGCCCTTCCGCTTTCAAAAACATTGCAGGAACACCACCTAATTTCTAACCCCCTCATTTATAAATTACAAAGGTACTAGGCTGAGAAGCTGCATAATCCAAATTTAAGGTATCAATTACCAAGTCTTCTGAAGCCAGGTACAAGATCCACAAAAGTAGTAGTGCCATCACAAAGAATGGAGGCAAGGCGTAATCTGAACTGATGCCCCAGGGTCAGCAAGTGGTGAGCAATATACATACAGTTATTATGGTGAATAGCAGCCAACTGGGGAAGTTTTTGAAGGTTCTCCCTAGGCAATGAGGAAGGGTAGAAAACAAACCATCTATTATTAAAGTCAAGGTTGATGACAAGTCACTACTCCTCTAAAGCTGTCATGTCTCAATGCTTTAATAATTTTCTATTTTGTAGATGCTGAACATTAACAAGATACAACCTCATCATTCCCACTCACATTCAGAGTTAGGTTGTTCTGCCTGTGTGACCTTATCCTATAAAACTATCCCAGTGATTAACAAACAAGAAAAATCGAGGGGATCAAAAGTTTACCTGAGTCAACTCTTTGTACTGGAAACCTAGCAAAGGTATGCATACTGCTCTTAAAATTTAATTCTGGTAAATGTCTGTAACTACAGGTTTACTTCTCCTTTCTCCAAATTCCTATTTCATTCATGTAATGAAGCATTTAATATTTTCTAATTCACAAGTTTTTAAAGCCACCTAGAGATTAGGGTCACAAGAGAAATAAAGTTAAGCCAGGCGCTGTAGCACAGACCTACAATCCCAGAGCTTGGGAGGCTGAGGCAGGAAGATCATGAGTTCACAGCCAACCTGAGCAGTGGTGAAGTGCTAAGCAACTCAATGAGATGAGACCCTGTCTCTAAATAAATACAAAATAGGGCTGGGTTTATTTAAAAAGCTCAGTGGTGGAGTGACCTAGAGTTCATTCTTTAAAAAAAAAGAATGCTTTAAAAAAATTTTTCAAATAATAAGGGGAGGGAGGCGAAAGCAGAGTCCTTGGCTATGAAATAGCTTTCTTGACATTATTAAAAACATTTATAAAAAACATTCAAATTATTTCATTTAAATAACAGAACTTCTGAAGGCTTACAGTTGAGTAACCTTTCAGAACATAAAAGAAACCTTTAAAGCCCAAGACATAAAGTGAATAAATACAGCCTAAGATGCTACAGAGAGTGGCTAATCATACTTCACAATTAAGAAGCATTCCTTTGGGGCTGGGGTTGTGGCTCGGTGGTAGAGCGCTCACCTAGCATGACGAGGCCTTGGGTTTGATCCTCAGCACCATATAAAAATAAGTAAATTAAATAAAGGTATTGTATCCAACTACACCTAAAAAATAAATATTGAAAACAAAATTCTCTTGTATCTTATGTCCGCAAAACTGTGAATGCCAAGGGAAAATGTAGTATGTTTACTGGATAGCACTGTGAAATATTGACCTTTCTGGGTTTTTCTGGCACTAAGAATTGAACTCATCCTGAGCCACATCCCCAGCCCTTTCTATTTTTTATTCTGAGTCAAGATCTCACTAAGTTGCTTAGGGTCTTGCTAAGCTGCTGAGGTTGGCCTCAAATTTGTGATCCTCTTGCCTCCTCCTCCCAAGTGAGAGTACAGGCATGTGCTACCACATCCAGCATCTTTCTGTTTTTCAACCAAGATAAGTAAGGCAATTCTTAAAATGTGTAGGCATTAAAACAGGCAAGGCTCTTTTGAGTTTTTAAATTTGCATTATTTACTGTAAGATTCTGTTCCCTTATTAATAGTAAATATCTAAGTCCTTTAAAATGGTTCACTGCATTTTATTGTGAATTTCAGTAACCAAAATATCTTTGGTGAAAATATTAAATAGTAGTTTTAAATAAATAAATATTTTAGTCATACAACTATTATACAGAACCGAGATAAAGTAGTACTTACTTATGATATGTTGGTACAACATCATGGAACAAATGAAAGATATTCCTCACTGAGTAGAAAAGTTGGACAGCACTAAAAGGAAAATTAAAATTTAAGAGATATACATAAGGATATACTATAAATGAGAAAAAATTTCAAACTAAGTACACTTCTAGTGAAGGTCATCAATTAAAAGTACAGTTGCAGGGAAAATACGCCTTGATCACTGCTGGAAAACACCACTCATCTAGATGGAAATATATTCTCAACCAGTATTTACTAACTAAATTAGAATTCTAAAAACTTGGATATATTAATAGTCTTTAGAACAGTAGCATTCAACCCAAAGCCTCTTTTCCATTTATCATTTTCTGTTCTGCAAGTACCCAGAGTATCCTTTTAGTTACAAATGGAGCTAAGCCTCAGGCAAATGTCACCTACTCACTGATACACACTGCAAAGGGCAAGGTATCAATAAAGGCACTCACTTGGTTCTTTTAGAATCAGCCTGACTTTCAGCTTCCACTTTTTTCTCTTTCTTTCCCAATGCAGAGAGATAAATCAACATTTTCTAGGGATAGAATCTAGCCCTCAAGACTTTTTGCCCTTTAAAACACCTCAAAATATTAAAATGCATTTTAAAAGAGCAAATATAAAACTTGTAACACTTCTCTCTACACAAGAGTGTTTTAACCTATATACCTTAAATAACACAAAGGAATTCCACAAATATTTAGGAAAACAAGTCGTGGTTGCTATACTCCAAAACACCTTCACTACCAATTATCATGATAACTGACTAAATTCATTCATTTTTGTTATATATATCATCTGAGGTTTGACAATGTAGAAAGAAAGGTATTGTACAGTAGGTGGTTTTTGTTTTATTGGCACAATTATACATAGTAGTGAAATTCATTATACCACATTCCTATATGCATAATTTATATCAATAATAGATAATTCAATCAATAAATAAGAGATAATTTACTCAATCTCATTCCCCAGTACCTTCTCTTTCTCTCCATTCTTTCCTCCCCATCTGCTTGCTCTACTCTACTGATGTCCCTTCTATTACTGTTATTTTAATTAGTGCAAAATAATTATATATATAAATATAAATGGAATTCACTGTGGTATATTCGTACATGAACATAGCATAATATGATAAATTTCCTTTCCCAGTTACTTCCCTGTGTCCTCCCTTTCTTACTCCCTCTCCACCCCCTTCTACTACTCTGTTCAGTGGTTTCCCTTTATTTTCATAAGACCTCTTTTTTATTCCTTTTCTCTAGCTTCCACTTTTGAGAAAAAATATTGACCCTTGACTTTCCAAGTCTGGCTTATTTCACTTAGCATGATATTTTCCACTTCCATCCATTTATCAGCAAATGACACAATTTCACTCTTCTTTATGGCTGGATACAATTCCACTGTGTATATAAACCATATATATATAAGAATATATATATCCTTATCCATTCATCTACTGATGGACACATAGGCTGGTTCCATAACTCAAGTATTATAAACACTGGTATGAATGTATCATTGTTTTGGATAAATACTAAGGAAGGCGTGGGATAGCTGGGTCATATGGTAGTTTCATTCCTAGTTTTTTTTGAATTTTTTAATATTTATTTTTTAGTTTTCACTTGACACAACATTTTTATTTTTATGTGGTGCTGAGGATCGAATCCAGCGCCCCACGCGTGCCAGGCAAGCGCACTATCGCTTGAGCCACATCCCCAGCCCTCATTCCTAGTTTCTAAAGGAATCTCCATACTGATTTCCAAAATAGTCAGACTAATTTGCAGTCCCTGTGTTTTTTTGTTTGTCCTATTTTAAAAACCATTTCTTTTAGTGGAATGAATGTCTATAAACATTCAGAATACAAAAATAGTGTTTTCTATCTGCTTTCTCAAAAATTTTTAAAAATATTGCCCTGTATCTCTACTTTCTAGCCTGATATATTTCAGGAGAAAGTCATGAAGAAATAGTTACTCCTGAACTTATTTATTTATTTTTTAAATATTTTATTTTTAGTTGTAGTTGGACACAATACCTTTATTTTATTTCTATGTGGTGCTGAGGATAGAACCCAGGGCCTCACACATAATAGACAAGCACTCTACCACTAAGCCACAACCCCAGCCCTCTCCTGTGTTTATTTTGCCAAAAGAGTATATACTTCCTTTATAAGCAAGCATGCATTTTTACTTCCTACATGTAATTAAAACTAAAAGGACTCATGAGTAGGATTCATTAAAGCCATGGAAGTACCTTGGTAAACATGTTTTTTCTAGAGCAAAATAAAATAAAGGGCTATGTTTTCATACAGAGATTATAAACTACAGATCAGAAAATATGATAGGATTATATTATTGTTTTTTACTATGAGGACAAAAATTTAAAAAAAAATGCTAAGTACAGATTCAAACTAAACAGGCTTTAGCCTTTTGTAAACCTGCTCTACAATCCACTTTGCCTATTCCCTATTTTTGTCTCAGTGGATTCTAGAAGAGCTTATTAAATAAAAAGATTCAGTACAAAGTGTAGAGTCGCGTCTAAGGTACCTTCAATACAATGTACATTAGAGGTTACCTTGGAAGGTGAAGCCAGATTTGAGGTGTGTACATTCTTTTTCTTTTACTTTGATCAACTAACGAATTATTAGTGCTTTAAAAATAAACATTTTAAATGTAAATTTGATTAGGAACTAAATTTCAAAAGGTAAAAAACTAAAGAAAGAAAGCTGGAACATATGGTACAACTATTACTATTACCTCCACCACCTGTAATATTCAACATTTGAGTACTAATCATTTCTAGGTAATATTCTAGGTTCTTTACATGTACTTTCTCATGTAAAATTATTTCATTTTCACCATAAAAAGTAAAAATTAAATATTATAGTGTTTTACTAAGTGATTAACAATTTTCAGTGTGAGATAAACTTACATGTCCATCTACATACGCGCATCTATTTTTATACCTTGTTCTAACATCTATATTACTATAAATAAAAGTTAGAGGTTAATATATATCTATGTGCTACACTGCGTCTTTTTAGAAAAAAATAAATAATTTAAAAAACCAAAGAATTTCAGCTAATATTCTTAATAAATGTCTATTCAGATAAGCATTAACCAAAGCAATGCTATTTTCAGACAACTTGGAATTCATACCATTGGTCACTACTGGTTGTTGCCTCTAATAAAGTCTGATAAGCAAGTTCCATTAACTTCTTCACAGATTCACTGATACGACATGTAGGCAAAGAAAAGGAATGTTGATCCAATGTATTTTCAGGTTCTAAATTCACTGCTTCATTATACTCAGTTTTGGATACTTTTTGTACTAAAAGCTTGTTATCCTCATCAGGACTTGGTAAGTCTGGCACACTTATCTTAGAATCAGGAGTAATCTAAGATTAAAACAGAAATATAAAAAATGCATGTTTTCAGAATAATTCAAATGCAAGCACAAAGCAAAGAATAAGACAATGGTGACTTCCATGAAGATAAAGCTGTGGTTCTAAGGAATAATTAAAACATATCAGTAGATAAGGCATTATTTTAACAACTGCTCAATCTTGGGTGACAGCATGTGGTAAGAAATAATCAATCCCTCTAACTACAAAATTCTTTATGGAAAAGTAAAACTGTGCAACTGGACCAAGACTTCATGTCTACAGGTCTACAAAGTTGAGTACAGTGGCATGGACCTATAGTCCCAACTACTCAGAAGGCTGAGGCAGAAGGATCACTTAAACCCAGAAGTTCAAGATCAGCCTGGGCAACATAGATTCTGTCTCAAAAGGACAAAATTTTTTAATTAATTAATTAAAAGAAAAATAAAACTAGATGCAGTCATGCATGGTATAATCCCAGTGACTCAGAAGGCTGAGGCAAGAAGATGACAAGACTGAGGACAGCACTGGCAACTTAGTGAGATTTTTGTCTCAAAAAATTTCAAAAGGGGCTAGGGATGTAGCTTGGTGGCAGAGTATACCAGGGTTCAATCCCGAGCAAGAAGAAAGAAAGGAAAGAAGGGGAAAGGAAGAGAAGAAAAAAAAAACCTTCAAAAATCATCTTTCAAGCTGGGGATATAGCTCAGTTGGTAGAGTGCTTGCCTTGCATGCACAAGGCCCTGGGGTTCATTACCCAGCACCATTAAAAAAAAAAAAAAAAATCATCTTTCTCAGACTAGACTATTGATTATTAAGACCAGTATAATTCTGTGTTTCATTAACTACATTATGAGCACATACGTTAATTTAAGGAAAAACTAATTCAGATTATTGTATTCTACCCCTAAAAAACAAAACTCAAAATCAAAACTGAAGAAGCCTCCTTAACATTTACATGGAATGAGGATTACTAGACTTGGTTGGGACTAAACTGATGAAAGAAACTGAGGTTGAGAGTCTGGAGACAGTGATATCTTGTTCTTGTTTGGGTACTGGGATTGAATACAGGGGTGCTTTACCAGTTGAGCTACATGCCAACCCTTTTTATTTTTTGTTTTGAAGCAGGGTCTCATTAAGATGATTAAGGCCTTGAAAAGTTGCTGATGTTGGCCTCAAACTTACAATCCTCCTGCCTCAGCCTTCTGAGTCACTGGGATTACAGGTATTCACCACTGTGCCTAGTTTGAGATGGTGACAGTTTTTAATCTAACTTTCTGCAAAGTCATTTAATGTTTTTTTTTCAATTTTCTCACAAAATATACTAATAATGGCTTTCAAACTTTGCTTCTCAAAGATGCCTCAGGAACCAAAAAAAAAAAATAAAAAAAAAAAAAGAGGTAGAGAGAAAGAAAGATATTACACAGGTAGAGGCAGGAAGTTTCCCAGTTCCACTGTAGAAATAGCAAGCAGCTCTGCTCTGCACATACTGGACCTGTTGGGAAATTTTCTTTTTTCTTCTTTTTTTTTTAATTTTTTTTTAAGTTATAGATGGACACAATACTTTTACTCTATTTATTTTGAGTGTGGTGCTGAGGATCAAACCCAGTGCCTCATACTTGCAAGGCAAGGGCTCTGCCACAGAGCCACAATCCCAGCCCGGGAAATTTTCTGTTAGAAAACAATCCAAGTTTAATAAAAATGTTTAAGTCAGCAAACCTGACTTCTAAATTCATAAAATGATATAATAATTTCCACTTCTGAGGGCTATTATCAAGCTTAAATGAGAATACACTGGGTGTGGTGAAGGAGGATCACAATTTCAAAGCCAGACTCAGTAATTTAGCGAGGCCCTAAGCAACTTAGGGAGACCCTGTCTCTAAATAAGATACAAAAAAAAAAGGCTGGGGATGTGGCTCAGTGGTTAACCGCTCAGAGACCCAATCCACAATGCAAAAACTTCACAAAAAGGGCAAAGGACTCAAAGATGGAATAATGTAAAAGCTAATATGGTTCTCTCAGGTCAAAATATAAAAACATCTTCAAAAATGAATTGTACTGGGCCAGGCATGGTGGTGCATGGCCATAATCCTAGCAGCTCGGGAGGCTGAAACAGGAGGATCATGAGTTCAAAGCTAGCCTCAGCAAAAGCGAGGTGCTAATAAGCAACTCAGTAAGACCCTGTCTCTAAATAAAATACAAAACATAGGGCTGGGGATGTGGATCAGTGGTGGAGTGCCCCTGAGTTAGATCCCTAGTACCACCGCTGCCTCAAAAAAAAACAAATATACTGTTTTATGAATATTGTGCTTTTCATGACAGACCAAAATTAGTCCTTGTCTTTCGTATTTTCCCTAAGGTTGTAAAGATGTACTAATTGATACATGAACTAATAGGAACACTGTGCCAATTTTGTAAAAATCTCAATGTTTGAATCATTTATTCAGTGATAGTATTTATCAGAAAGTATATCCAGCTTATTCAAAAAACCAATGATATGTCATGAGCTTTGTAATGTTGTGAACAACCAATTAAAAAAAAAAAAAAAAACCAAAGAGTATAAAGCCACAAAAGCAAAGAAAAGTAGTAAAACTTTCTGTTTGCATCTTCTGGTTAGAAAGGCCAAACTGAAATTATTGAGCTTCTTCATTAGACAGCCAAATGCAATACTACTCTGCCCCTTACTGATTTAGACTCCACCGCGGTACTTAATACTCTTCTTATAGCAACAAAGTGTATTAAATTGAATTTAGGATAATAATATTTACATATGTGAACTGGGTCCTAATACTGATTCTTTAACTCCCTGAATTATTGTATGCAAATGATTCACTGGGAATATTCCCATATAATTTCAAAGTTATTACATACCAAGGCAAAGCCTTAATTTGTACAGGCTTTAGCAAAGTGAGGTTTCATTGCTTCTTGGATGATATTTAGTTTATATTTTGTTTAATATTATTTTCATAGGAAGCAAAATCTATGACTTACAAACCTAAATCATTTTTACATCAAAAAGCTACTCTGTCAGCATTAGAGTTATAAGTAAATGTTATCTTTTGGGGAAAACAATCTAGTATTTAGCCATATGACCTTTGTTTATTATGAAGTTAATGTTCAACAGTTACTTTTGAATAATTTCTTTATCTTCTGTAATGCTATCCTAGTGGCAGAGCTCATTAATTCATATATGCCTTGATATCTTATAGGATTTGTGGCTTCCAGCTAGTTAGTTCTTTGGGATTTTAAGTCTTTTGGGAGTGGGGGGTACAAGGGATTGATCTCAGAGGCATTCAACCACTGAATCATATCCCCAGCCCCTTTTTTTCTTTTGGTATTTTATTTAGAGACAGAGGCTTATTGAGTTGCTTAGTGTCTCGCTTTTACTGAGGCTGGCTTTGAACTCAAGATCCTCCTGATTCAGACTCCCAAATCACTGGGATTATAGGTGTACACCACCACACCTGGCAAGATACTGATTTCTTTATTTCTTTTTTTTTTTTTAAATTTATTTATTTAATTTTTTTTTTAGTTTTTCGGTGGACACAACATCTTTGTTTGTATGTGGTGCTGAGGATCAAACCCAGGCCACACACATCCCAGGCGAGCACGCTACCGCTTGAGCCACATCCCCAACCAAGATACTGATTTCTTAACCTAGGAATTCAAACACTGATCCTTTTGAGTGAAGAATTTGAAGTTTTTTTAAGACCTCTTTAGGAGCAGTCATCGCAAACTAATTATGAACTCCAAGCTCCCTTCCCAGGTAACTGTTGAAAGCAATGGCATCATAATACTCCTCTGGAATGGCTAGAAGTGATTATGATCTTTTGATTAGGAAAGCTGTCACTTAATAAAAAATTATACTGTTTGCCTGCTAGTCATGCATATCTTGAAATCATTTTGCTATGTTTATAATGAAGAATCTTCTTGGTAACAAATTATTAATTTTTTGAATATTACTAATTATCACTGCCACCTATTTCCTAAGCCCTTTTCTTGCTTTGTTTTTCTTCATGTTATATAACAACCAGCATTTTGTATATTTACTATTTGTCCCTTTCTAAGAAGTATGTTTCATTAAAGACTATTTTTTTTTCTTTTGGGAAAATGAGAATATTTAGGGGACTGTTTTAGAACTTATATATATATAAGACTATGAAAAGTAAACTGAAATTATTTTAGAAAAGCTAAAAAGAGCTTTTCAAAGTTGGAAAATTTAGGGCTGGGGATATAGCTCAGTTGGTAGAAGGCTTGCCTCGCATGCACAAGGCCCTAAGTTCAATCCCCAGCATCACCAAAAAAAAAAAAAAAAAAAAAATTCAAAGTTGGAAAATTTAGATTTCATTCCAGGGTCTAAATGCCAAGAGCAAGAACCAGGACAGAATTCTGAAGTAGTTGTTAACCAGGGACAATTTTGGCAACATCTTGAGATACCAGCATCCAATCAATTGAACACATAATTCAGGGATGCTGCTAAACATCTCACTAGACAGCCCTGGCCTAAAGGAAGCTACATATTAGTACATAGGTACAAAGGGAAAATGTAATTTCCTAGAATGGCAGAAAAAACTGAATAGGAGGCTCAGAGATTATCTAGTTCAATTATATTACATTACACAAGAGGAAAAAGAAGTGCAAAAGGATTAAAAGATCAAGCCCAGGACAGGCATGGTGGGGTATACCTACAATCCAGGTTATTCATAGGCTGAGGCAGGAGAATCACAAGATTGAGGTCAGCCTGGACAACCGAGTTAATACCGTTTTTCACATTTTTTAAATAAATAAATAAAAAGAGTTGGGATGCAGCTCAGTAGTAGAGTACCCCTGGGTTTAATCTCTAGTATCTCAAAAAACAAAGATCATCAAAACTAGAGTCACAGAGTAATGAGAAATTCATTAATAATACTGCTTACATCAAGAAGCTATATAGAGGTTACTGAGATATACTAATTCACTTAACAAATATTGAGTGAATAGATTAGCAGTTAGTACACAGAGGTATGTGCCAGGAACTTTCACTGGAGATAATGGCAGTAAACAAACAAAAAAAAGAAAGTCTCTCATGAAACATACTTCTTAGAAAGGGACAAATAATAAATATACATACTGGCTGTTATGTAACATGAAGAAAAACAAAGCAAGAAAAGGGCTTAGGAAATAGGTGGCAGTGATAATTATTAAAAAACGAGTTAGAGCTGGGTGTGCTAATGCATGTCCATGTCTACAATCCCAACTACTCAGGATTAGGTAGGAAGATCACAACTTCAAGAATCTCTGGGCAACTTAGTGAGACTCTTTCTCAAAAAGGGCTGGGAATAAAGCTCAGTGGAACAGCGCTTGTCTATTATGCACAAGGCCCTGGGGTTTAATACTCAGTAGCTCCCCCTCAAAAAAAATAGTGGGGTCAGGAAGGACTTTAATAGAAAAGTCATGACAGAAACGATGGTACACTCCTGTAATCCCAGCAGCTCAGGAGGCTGAAGCAGGAGGATCAAGAGTCAAAACCAGCCTCCGCAACAGTAGGCGCTATGCCAGGCCATGAGACCCTGTCTCTAAATAAAATACAAAATAGAGCTGGGGATGTGGTTCAGAGGTTGAGTGCCCCTGAGTTCAATCTCTGGTACCCCCGCTATCCCCCCTCAAAAAATAGAAAAGTCATGTGGGTATCTCCAATAAAAATGTTACAAGCAGAGGGAACAGGAAATTCAAAAATTCTGCCACCAAGTAGAGACCTGGCACATTCAAGCATCCCTATGAATCCAAGTGCCTGGAACAGTGAAAGAAAAATGCGTAACAGATGGAGTTAACCAGGTGTGGTGGCACACACCTGCAATCCTTGGGAGGCTGAGGCAGGAGGATAGCAAGTTCAAAGACAGCTTCAGCAAAAGCACAGTGCTAAGCAACTCAGTGAGAATCTGTCTCTAAATAAAATGGAAAAAAGGGCTGGGGACGTGGCTCAGTGTGGAGTGCCCCTGAGTTCAATACCCCATATCAAAAAAAAAAAAAAAGAGAGATGGAGTCAGAGAAGACATGGATCACATAAGGCCTTGCAGGCCACTGGAAAGTAAGTGGGTCTTTTTCTAAATTAGATGGAAAGCCGCTGAATTTTGGTAAGAATGACATAATCAGGTACTATTTATTTTAAAAGAAACCCACAGCACAGTTACTAGCACTGAATAGTTTTCAGCTCTCATAACAAAATTACCTGAAAATGTGTTAACATCTGTGGACTTCATATGGCTAATTAAATAGTTCATTGAAACAAACATGAGAACAGGGTACCAGAAAATGAAGCATGGCAAAGAAGGGATTAATAACAAACCCAGTCCCCTTCAGCAGAAAAATGGCCGAGAATCTTTTATTAAGGAATTGCCTCAGTCTGTCTTAAATCAAGTAATAACTTGCATTTAACAAATAATATTTTATATAAAAACAAACAAAAAATGCATAGAAGTATCTAAGGCCAAAGGAATAAATTACTCTTAATGTAAATAAATTAGTCCACTGCCCTTGCAATTAATTACTTAAACCCTAATGTTTTATATTTATATAAAAAATATAAATTTTTAATTTTTATATATATACGGTTTTTTTAAGTTGTTTTTTTTTTTTAAAGAGAGAGTAAGAGAGGGGAGAGAGAGAGAGAGAGAGAGAGAGAGAGAGAGAGAGAGAGAATTTTTAATATTTATTTTTTAGTTCTCGGCGGACACAACATCTTT